CTACTGCTGCTGCTGTTACTACTACTACTGCTGCTGCTGTTACTACTACTACTACTGCTGCTGTTACTACTACTACTACTGCTGCTACTACTACTACTACTGCTGCTGTTACTACTACTACTAGTACTGCTGCTGCTGCTGTTACTACTACTACTACTGCTGCTGTTACTACTACTACTACTACTGCTGTTACTACTACTACTACTGCTGCTGTTACTACTACTACTAGTACTGCTGCTGCTGCTGTTACTACTACTGCTGCTGCTGCTGCTGTTACTACTACTACTGCTGTTACTACTACTACTGCTGTTACTACTACTACTACTTCTGCTGCTGTTACTACTACTACTGCTGCTGCTGCTGCAGTTACTACTACTACTACTACTACTACTGCTGCTGTTACTACTACTACTGCTGCTGCTGCTGCAGTTACTACTACTACTACTACTACTTCTGCTGCTGCTACTACTACTACTACTACTGTTACTACTACTACTGCTGCTGCTGCTGCTGTTACTACTACTACTACTACTGCTGTTACTACTACTACTACTTCTGCTGCTGTTACTACTACTACTGCTGCTGCTGCTGCTGCTGTTACTACTACTACTGCTGCTGCTGCTGCTGCTGTTACTACTACTACTACTACAACTGCTACTGCTGCTTTTTTCTCTTTTTTATCTACTAACACTTAGTTAGACTTTGTTTTAAAAAGCAAAGATGAAAACCGAGCTAAACTGGTTTCACAACTGCTGCAGTAATAGTAGTTGCATCACACATTTAAAGATAGTGGTTTTGTAGATTATTAGAGTGTAATTATTTTCTTGCAGATTAGAAAATCAAAAAATTAGAACAGCTAACATGACGAGCTTCTGCATCGAGAAAACGTGAAAATCACCATAGATGAGTAAAGTCTTAAACCATCTTTCCACCAATACTACTCTACTTTACTCTTCTACTCTACTCTACTTTACTAACCCTGGTTCTATCCAGGACGAGCTGGTGCTGAAGTATTCAAAAATCATATATTCCATGCTTTTAAGAGTTTATTAGGACCCTGTAGGACCTTTGAATCACTATTTACTGCTTCCCCTTTCTCCTCACCAGTTTGAGAGTCCACAGATCCGTACAAACTACTCCCTCTACAGGTCTCTCGCATCACTGCAGCTCTTGCATCTCTCCCTACATCACAGAAAACAAGAGAAAACCACAACTTTGCAACAACAAACGGCACATTCAAGCATCCACCAAGCCTCAGAGACTATGTCTCTTATTCTCACTCAGAAAAAGGCTACAATGAGAAAGTTTTTTTTTTTTTTTATCAGGCTTTAACAGACAGTTGTTTTTAGCCGTTTGTGTGAAGCTAGAGCTGCAAGGTCTGGTTTGAAATTGTCCTAAATTAATTAAAATAAAAATCAGTTTTGAGCCTTTCTGAAGCCAAATAAATAAATCTCGTCACTACACACACTCTACAAACAGAGGCTACTTTAAGTAAAAAAAAAGACACAAATAATGAAACACTTTGATTCATTAAGTAGTTTCATCGACCAAACTTACTGAGAATAAATTCACCAGTCTCTAGTCACTGGTCAGATTTCCTGAAAGTGATTTATTTTAATATATCTAAAAGTATAGATTAAAATTATGTATGTTTAAAACATACATAAAATATACCTACAAATGCTTGCAGAAAAATAGGATATAGAATAAAAAGCAAAATATGTACACAAAGAAAAATGGACTGAGAAATTGATAGATACTTTATTGATCCCCTGGAGGAGAAAATCAGGTGCATAGGTTCTCAAAAGTGAAAGAGTTGATAAACTAGCTCACATGATTCTGAAGGCGATATAATTAAAAATCTAAATATGTGTCATTTTTACAATTGGTTTCCCCAATGGGACATGTGCCTTAAAGCTAGGGTATGTAACTTTCAAACCACAAAAAACAAATCTACAAGCTGAGTCAGTTTGCTTCTATCACTAGATTTCACGTATTTATTGTCGCTGCCACATCTTAAGATTTTTTCAGACAAAAAAGTGAAAAAGAGAGGACCACCCTCACTCAGCCAATCAGCTCTGGAGGACCAAGAAACCAAAAACATAACATATTGTCCGGACAATATTGAAGCGCTTTCTAATGAATTTACCGCATTCCATATAGTACATTGATAAATATAGATGAGGACGTTAAGTGGACCTCAAATTAGTCAAAACCCCATAGAAGTTTTCCCAAAGACTTCTGGTATTTGGAGCCATTTGGTCTGCATTAGTCTTGGTTCGAGTTTGGCCTTTGGTCCTCCACCACAACACAAAGCAAAATCCAGCCCTGATTTGTTTTCATTTCAATTTTCCACGCTCCTGTGAGAACGCTACTGTCCCGGCAGCATGGTAAATTACAGCTCGATGGAGACTAGAAGGTGTTTTGTGATCATGTTTATTTGTATAGCACAGTTCATACACAAGGACACTCAAAATGCTCAACAAAACAAGTAAGAAGCAATCACACAAGGCATTCAAATCATAAATAATCACAGTATTAAAAAGAATATGTGCACAGCTAAACAGAACTGGTTTGAGCCTGGTATTGAACATTGTCAGAGTAGAAGCCTGTCTCACATTTTCAGGAAGACTGTGTCCTGACTCTGAGCACTAGCAGGAGGCCAGTCCCTGTGCTCCTCAGAGTCCGAGTTGGTTCTTATGGCAGTAACAGAGAGACTTCTACACAAGCTAAACTCCTTTAAAGTCTACACTATTTTTTATTTTCTTTGTCTATTTTTCAGAGTTATTCAGCTAAAAACAGGAGCAGTCATCCTGAAAATGCGAGACAGGCTTCTATTCTGAAAATGTTCAAATCCAGGTTCAAAACACAACGGTTTAGCTGTGAATAGAACTGATTGTATCTTCACTCTTTTTAATGTACGGTGATTATTTATTTATTTATTTTTGTTGCCTTCTGTGATGTTAGGAACTTTTAGCCTTGTGTATGAACTGTGCCATACAAATAGGATCAGAACATTTTTTTTCTAAAATTGCAGAGCAGTGTTGCAATGACCTGACACAGACTAGAGAGATAGACCTGAGAGAGTGACCTGAGAGAGACCAGAGAGAGTGACCTGAGAGAGACCAGAGAGAGACCAGAGAGAGACCAGAGAGAGGCCAGAGAGAGTGACCTGAGAGAGACCAGAGAGAGACTAGGGAGAGACCAGGGAGAGACCAAAGAGAGAGCCCAGATATAAAGTGACCTGAGAGAGAGACACCAAAGAGAGACCAGAGAGACACCAAAGAGAGACCAGAGAGAGAGACCAGAGAGAGACCAAAGAGAGACACCAAAGAAAGACACCAAAGAGAGACACCAAAGAGAGACCAAAGAGAGACTAGAGAGCGCGACCAGAGGGACACCAAAGAGAGACCAGAGAGGGACCAGAGAGACACCAAAGAGACACCAAAGAGAGACCAGAGAGGGACCAGAGAGACACCAAAGAGAGACCAGAGAGAGACCAGAGAGATACATCAAAGAGAGACCAGAGAGAGACCAAAGAGAGACTAGAGAGCACGACCAGAGGGACACCAAAGAGAGACCAGAGAGAGTGACCAGAGAGAGACACCAAAGAGACACCAGAGAGGGACCAGATTGAGTGACCAGAGAGACGCGAAAGCGAGACCAGAGAGAGACCAGAGTGAGTGAACAGAGAGAGACACCAAAGAGAGACCAGAGAGAGACCAGAGAGAGTGACCAGAAAGAGACACTAAAGAGGCACTAAAGAGAGACCAGAGAGAGACCAGGGGGAATTGACTCGTAAAGCAGTATGGCAAGTTTCTCATTCAACTGAATGAGAAACTTAAAGATTTTCTAACATATTTTAAACATTAGAAAAAAGGAAAGATCAGTGCGTCTAACATCCCAAACACTGATGACTAGAGCTTCACTCACCCAATCACAGCTTCACGGCTCGTTATGCTGTCATTAAGCAAAAGTACTGCTTCTGATGTGACCTGTACATAGTTTTAGAGCCCTCTTGACCTCTGTAAAGGTAAACGAGAAGCTATAAACCAGTTTGTCTTCTATGTGTCTAAATGACTAGGTTATTTTGGGTAAACATACTTTTTTGAACCGAGTGATGCCTTTTGCCTTTAGGCGTGGCATTCCCTTTCTGATGAGCTTACAGATTAGAGCCACTTTATGACCGGTCAAACAGAAGTTTAAACCAGATTTTTGGTTTAAAAATCTGCCTTTCTCTTGAGCCTCTCTCTCTTGATTCTCTCTCTCAGGTCACTCTTTCTGGTCTCTTTCTCTCTCTGATAAATCCAGATATGATCTCTACCAACTGCCCAATCAAATGCCTTAGTTTGTGGGGGGAAACTCCAGCTTGCCTTGGCAACAATGAAATTCCTATCTAAGGAAATTGGCTCCAGCTATCTTGTGTTGAAATGAGCCTCTTCCACATTAAGACTAACATTATGGTGATGTCACACTCAGTCAGTCCACTAATACACGCTCCATGGTCAGGTCTTCACTCTTCACGCCTCAAACACAATTGAAATTCCAATAAAACATTTCCCATCGTTCCAAAACCATGCGTAAGTTCAATGTTAGAAGCAACTGACTTTAAATCTTGAATGCAAATCTTTTTAATCCAGGGCTGTCAAACTCATTTTGGGCGGATTTAAAACATACACTGTAAACCCAAATTTTCTTTTACATAACAAGTCAAGCTATTGCTACTAATCTTTTCATAATTTTGCAAAAGGCGGGACCATTATTAAACAAAATGTGAATTGTAAACTAATTAAAACGAGTATTTGCTCCACTAATGGCTCTGAGCGGAGACACCTCACATTTACATGTTTTACTGGTTTTGGGAGGGGCTTGAGGCAGTGAGCCCCGATGAGTTCAAACCCAGCATGGCTCTTCTGTCTGTTGGCCACCGATGCATGTCACAGTTGTCTGGAATTGGGGAAATCAGCGCCAGTCTGGTTGATGTAGCAGTTTATTAAACTATGGTAAGTGCATACATTTCTCTTCGTTGTAGTAGTTCTACTCACTGGGTAAAATAATATTTTCCTCGTGCTCACGTTAGCTATTATATTTCACCGAAAAGTCAACTGCGTCATTTAGCCCTACAATATATTGGGTTGGTCGTATATGGGAGTCTTTTGTGTTTTATTTTGGGACTGTATTAGCAGTTTAACGCGTTTGCGAACGTAGGTTACTGCAGCTAGCCGCTAACGGCTAATGCTAAGCGCTAGCAATGGGAAATGTTAGCTTTCTGTTGCCTTCAAACTAATTTGCCGCATGCGTTAATATTTTTGCAACTTCGACAGTGAACATGCAAACCAAGGGCTGTTTGTTCTGTAGCGTTACACTGATCCGCGAATTTTGCTTGGTAAGTTAGCTAGCCGTGTTAGCTCGTTCAAATCTTACTTTTTCTTTTTTTTTCATGTCGTTTTTTTTCCCCTAACCGCCGCATTTGATCTTGTCGCTACTTCAGTAAATGTATATATTTTTGAGGTGTACTTTATTTTTTTCTACAATTAGGTTGTGGTTATAATTACGGTTGAAACATGTGTCATGATTAATGGACCAGGGCTTTGGCACTGGTCTTGGCACTTGGTCTCTCATGTTAACCTTCTAACCCCCGCCGAGTGCATTTTCTCCAGCTGAGTTAAACATTGTAACTCCCCATGACCTACAAAAGTAACCTAAGCTTTGCCTTAAGGAGAAATGACGTTGTGGAGACAGCACCACCAATAAGCTCTCTGATTCAACGTTGGCCTGCACTCTTTACTAATGAGCAGGTATGCGTAACTTTTCTTTATGGTTATCTGCTTTTCCAGTTTTACAGCACCCACTAATTTCTCTTTTTTTTTTTTTTTTTAGATTTGCCTGGAATTCAAAAGGATTGTGGGAAAAGACCTGCAGCAGGAGTTTTATTCTGCCCTTGATGATCACCGTACCCGTCTTATGGAAATCTTTAAAGCGAAGAGGGGCAACGTGGGCGAACATTTGGCACAGCTTTTGCAGCAAATGCAGGTAATATTTTGTAACCGGGACACAACAAAAAAGCACAAATTGTCTGTGCGTGTGTCTCTGTGAATGACAGACTTTTTCTTTTAATGCATTATCGTTCTTTCAGTCACTGGATCCCACAGAAAAAAGGACTGTCGCGCTAAGAGGGCTTCCACACCTACTCGGAGACAATCCCACTGAGTTCTTCAAATCAAGCTCTGTAAGAATACATTATAATTTGACACTGCATATGAAACCGCACCCATGTACACCTCACTTATAATCTTCTATTATAAACGTTTCTGCATCCACCATGCTTACTCAAACAAGATCTAATACAAACATTTTATTATTAGAATAATAATTATCTTTGATTTTTACCAAAGTGCGGTATCTGCAGGTCAAAGATAGAAGTTTGTTTCCGTAGACAGCTGCAAGACAGCTAGATTTTGTATTTCTCTATTTTTTTTTTTTTTTTTTTTTAATCATCAGTGTCATAATGTGGTTTAGATATTATCGTAACATTTTTCTGGCGCAATATATCCTTTTTTTGCATTGTGTGTTATATTTTGGACCCCTCATAATACCGTACTTGTTAGAGGTTAGGAGTTATTTGCACAGGACAGGAGCCCTTTTAGAGCTTTATTGAAATAACATGATCCTATGCGATATTTGTATAACTTTGTAGTCACTCAATTTATCTGAAATTCTAATACCAATAACTATTTCTCTCAAAAACACCATACTGTGCAGCAGGATGGGTGAGCAGTTTGCCCACTTTCCAATGAATAAAATACACAATCTCAAGTACACCTGAACATGCTGTGTTTATGTGCAGTGATGACTGCGACCGTCCCATATTAAATTAATAATAATTCTGTATAAACGTCAGAATACACCATTGACAGAATAGACCAAGACGTTCCCTCAAATAGTTATTACACCAAAATTTTATAATTCGTGGCCAAATGGTAGAAAAAATTGCTGCCCCTTAATGGCTGTCTGTTGTAGTTCGGTAACTTTATTCACTAATAGTTATATTTCTGGCAAACATTTTTTGTTTATCTTTAGGATGGTGATGAGTCCTTTGGCCAAATGGATGTTGGAATCTTGCTGGTGAATCCTGAAGGTGTTTCTACCCCAACATCAGATCTTCACCCAGCAAGCCTAAAAATCGTCATTGAGGGTGAAGTTGTTGTCCAAAAGCTGACAACCCTGCCAGAAGCTGTGTGTCTCCTTTTTGGACTTACGTATGGACTCCACCTAAACTACCCGAAGACAATCAGAAATACCCTCCTGTTCATTCAACAGGTATTTTTTTTCTTTGGGAAGCACCGAGTTGAAGCCGAGAATTCAAACACTGAAGAATCAACTACTGGTGTAAAATGTTGCAGGTGCTCTAGTTATGGTTGGACAGAAAAGGTTTTTTTTTTCAAACTTATTTAGCAGTTAGAAGTTCATTGTTTGTACTGCTGAAGTTTGCATTCCACATTTAAATACAAACATAATTCATAAAAATGTGAGCAAGTGTTGTTATATAGGCCTAGAGGCCGGTGAAGTTTACAGGCTGAAAAACTTAAAACTGTTACACAGCAACTTTCCTGTTCATTATTTTTCAAACAATTACTATGTGCCACCATGCTAGTTTTTTTGTCTCTAAAAATGAAGGCTTCCAAATATTAAAAGGTAGCGACGCTCATTTAGGCAATTTACCCATCAAAGCCATACCACGGTTCCAAGTAAGTCTTAAAGAAACAGGCCACTGTTTTTACATACTGAGATCTGTTCTTACCTGAGCTTAGACGAGGAGATGAACAGTACCTGTCTGGTCTTTGTGCCCATTCTAACTTCACCCCATTTGGAGCTATAGGAATATACCGGGAGAGGCAAAACGTTAACATCTGGTATTTTTGCATGACTCAGGGCATGTACAAAGACCAAACAGGTACGTATCAACTCGTCTAAGCTCAGTTAAGAACATATTTCAGTATGGAAGAACGGTGGCCTGTTCCTTTGATACCAGATTAATGATGTAAATGACAAATGCTACCTCAGTTATTTCATAAGATGTTATGCAAGCATGTTCCCTCTTTGCACAAGGTTTTAAAATTTCCAAGAGAAATGTTTTTCAAGGGTTAAATGCAGAATTGTTTTGACATAGCACTTTTCTCAGATCTAGCTTATATGTCTAAAAGTTTAACATGGTGAAATGTGACAAAAAGACAAGCGCTGTTCTGATTGTTTACATGCAGATGACTGCATTTTACTCAGATTCGAATGTTAAAAGGTTATTATTGCACAATTTTTGCAATAAATTTTTGAAAAAACTAATTGTCAATTATTGTGTAATTTAAAAAAATGATACAATATATATTTCATAATTCTAACTATATTGCATGAGAAATAAATACTGATAAACATGATAAATAAACTCTGATGAACATGAGTAATGATTACAGATATATACGAGTAATGGTTTAGGCAATTACTCAAAAGCATTATTTTTAAAACCTCAAGTTCTTTAGTAATGGATTATCGTGGACACAAGACTTTATGTAAACAGAGCTTGATTTGTTTGGTTTTTGATTTTGTAAAAACTAGACATCCCAGTGCAATCACTTACCATGCGCGGCTTTAGTAATGATTACTAATTTGGGTTTACAGTGTAGCAGCTGCCGGGGCCGAAAGTATAAAAGTATTTGAAGCTCATCTTTGAATCTGTGGAATATTTTTTATGCATTTTCTTATATTATTAAGAGATTTAGAAAAATATTACTTTATTTTAACCCAAGTTTGGATTACTTTTTACTGGACAAAACTAGTCAATTTACTATAAGGCCTTTTTCCACTGGTCTACTCTACTCTACTGGTACCAGGTCCTTTTTTAGTCCCTTAGTGTTCTAGTTGCCAGTGTGTATAGTAGAGTAGGGTTAGTGGGAACAGACTAACCGGATTGGCCAATGTAATCTTAATCAATAACTGTGTGTTTAGTTCAAAATCTGGAATAAAATAAATGGTATGGTTGTCTTCGTGAGACATTTGTCTTTGAAATGAGGTACAACACTCCATGGCAGCTCACGTAAACCTGCCATCAATGCTGCAAGTGTAAAGTAATGATTGAATATAATCTCAGGGGTTCATCAATGGTCTGGGTCCTTGTGTGTGGCACCTGTGGTTTGATCGCTCGAACAAGAAAGATACTTATAAAGCCAACGAATCGATAAAGCCATGACGCAGTTTTGATAACCGAGCAAACCCATATCTTTTGCAGCTCTTTCTCTTCTTTAAGCGAAGTTCTGGGAGGTCAAGTCCCAAAACGGTCCCACTCTCTAGTTACTCTCTCTGGTCTCCTTCACTCTGATCTCTCTCACTCTGGTCTCACTCACTCTCTAGTCTGCCTTCTCTCTGGTCTCTCTCTGGTCTCTCTCCCTGGTCTCTCTCCCTGGTCTCTCTGATAAATCCGGATATGAGCCCTAACCACTGCCCAGTGTTTTGTTGAAATAGTTGAGTGGTGATAATGGGGTGTTAGAGCCGAAAGAGCGTCTCTCTGCGGGGTCAGGTCCCAGGCCCGGCTGAGGCCTGCTGCTCAGAGAAAGTGCAGATGGAGAAGCAGATAAATGCTGAGGGCGCAGCCTTCAAAAGGAAAGCGAAGAGTGAAGAATGTTAAATCAAGCTAATTTGCATCTGTGGTCTCTCAAACACAGGCTCATTAAACCCTCACCTATTGTTCATGTTTTTAGTTGTAAGGGCCACTGGAGCAACCGGAGGAAACCTATAGACACGGGGAGAACATGCAAACTCCGCACAGAAAGGTCATGGAGGCGGAAAAGCAGAAATTCAGAGCAGTTTTACCATACTGCTCATATAAGTGTTGAGTCTTTACAGAAGCACCATCAAAAAACAATACAACAAAAATACACACTGCTTACAACTATTTGGCGATGAAATAGTGTTCGGATTCCTCAGCGCGGCGTCAAAAAACTTTATTTTTGTATTCCCCACAGTTAAAACTAATGTTGGTAAATACATGAGCTGTTTGAACTACGTAAGAACGTTTGTCCAACACAAAACTTGCTTTAATTCAGCAGCGAAGATGAAAGATGAATGTGACAGAACAGAACGCAGAATCACGTTTTTCTGTGATTAGATCAGGTGACATATTAGTTACAAAATGGTCTAAAACATAATAAAAAGAGTAAATATATCGGTGAACGAGGCAGGTCATACACGGTGTCACTTAAGCAGTGGAATGAAGACACAGTAAGAAGGACGCGCAGAGCCGTGATGGGAGTAAACCAGAGAATGATTGTTGGTGTAATTGATTAAGAGGAGGAGGTCACGAACTGCCACAAAAGGGAAGAAAGAATGTTCAAAGTGACAGAGCGCCTCCCACTGAACCCGAGCAACGACACGAACCTGACACTGACAGCGTACTACACAGTAAATATTGTTAATTGCTTCTCATATGAAGAAGCGGCGACAATACATTCACTGGGTGTTCAATTGTATCATTGTACATCACTCTATCACAACAACAGTCATCTCTGGGGACTTTACAAAGTTACCGTTTCGACAACAGATCAGAGAAACAAGCAAAGGAAATAATAACAAACATGCGGGATGACCACTGTGATCCATAATGTCCCGGATCATCACTGTCCAAGACCCTCCAGCATCGGCAAGAAACCACTCAAAACCCCAGAGAGAAGAAGTGAGAAACCTCCAAAAGGCCCCGGGCAGACTGCAGACCCAGAGCTTATCATTTTTATGTGTGCGTAAAAAGACTGATCCAATCCAGGAGATGCTAACGTGTGTGCTTTTGTGTGATATATCAGAAAGTATAATTTGACATTTTAGGTAAAACTCTGATTTAAGCAGCCAAAAACTGTCGCAAACTAAAGACTAACTTTTGGAGTGGGTAAAAGTCGTTATCATGCTCGGTTTGGTGAACGGCTTCTGTATTCTATTGTGCTGAACTAAGGCCACGCAATTGAATTAAGTAAAACTCCACCCCAAACTCCGATAGAAAACTAAGTCTAATAAAGTAGTGTAGTGGTGGCACCTTCCCTCGATATTATACCAGTGGCGCTGCAGTCCGTGCGTAATGGTTCAGAACAGCTCCAGACTGGATAGTGTTTGAACACAAGACAAATACTGTAATCTGTGAAATGAATGTGTGAAAGTAAAACCACAAACTCAATAGTTCTGAAAGTCAGCCAAGTTCTGAACTCTGCCGAACGTCTCCAAACAACATTAAATCAACATTCGCTGTGCGTAAGAGCCACTGTGACCTGTTCGGTGGAAGATGCTGCTTATTACGCACGCAAAATTAAGGACATTTAATTAAAGGTGGCGTGCAAATTGCTAAACGAGTCCATAAGGTTGAAAACGACAGCTACTTGAAGCATTCGTCTGGAGTCAGCTGCGCGCTGTGCGCAATGGCCAGATTTACAAGATGTAGGGATAAATTAGCAGATGAACCAGGGGAAAGCGAAGTGGAAAGCTGTGCAGTAGTGCAAAACGAGGCCAAACAGCTCTGGACTACACAGAGTTTCAAGATTCTCCGTGCGTAAAGGCCGGAATGATTCTATACAGCCCCGCGTTTTATGTATTACACTAAAAGTTATGTGATTAAAACACCCACGACGTTTGCATAATACACAGACTGGAAGCAGGCGTGAATACTCTGCACAACAGTCCGCACATGCAGAAACCTCGTGAAGTCTTGCGTAAAGGTCCACAGTGACATTATACTAAGAGTTCTGTGAAAGCTGTAGCCAAACTGTGCGTAAAAAGGGTGCAAAAGAAAAGTTGCCAAAGGGAGACTTACTTTTGGCTTCTTCATATGGAACGGCAGGAGTACATCCAGTGAAAAGGGAAATCCTATTTTATTTTACTTCTACGATGAGCAAAGCGGTTGTCATCGTCCTGTGTGCACATATCCGAGGCGGTTAAAGTCAGTATCCAAACGTGAGCGAGCCGGGGTGATGGTCTGGGGAGGCACGGCGTGAAGAGGTGCGTGCACCCGGTGGAGAGAGGTCCATATGTGGGGGAGGAGGTGGGAGGGAAGAGGGCGGGGGGCTTTGGATCAAGGCTCGGCGCACGGACACATCCACATCTACGGACAGATCCACAGGCCCGACCGCGGTCCGCTCGTTCTGGTGACAGAGGGAGAGTATTTCGCGCGGGGAGAGAGAGAGCAGATTTTATACCACGCGTCTAGCAGCCTCCCGCCCCCTGTGACGCACACGCAGAGCAGGGCGAGAGAGGCATGGCAAGGCAAGTTTATCTGTATAGCACAGTTCATATTCAAGGCAACTCAAAGTACTTTACAAAACAAGATAGAAACAATCATACAAAGTATTTAAATCCTAAATATTCACATTAAAAAGTGAGGTATGTATGTGCAGCTAAACAGATCTGTTTTTAACCTGGATTTGAACATTGTTAAGAGTCCTCAGAGTCCCAGTTGTATGTAGTAAGTAATGTGTATTTATTTTGCGCATTTGACAGACCAAGGTCACCCAAAGCACTTTACAATGTTCAGAGTTCAGATATTGTTGCAATCACTCCACACCCGGTGTTGACAGAAGCAAGACGCCGAACACACTGATGCATCATAGCCCCCAATCAACACCAGTGGGTGAGCCTCCATTCATCCACTCTTTACATTCATACATATTGTGCATGTTTTTAGTGGTAGGGGAAACCGGAGCACCCAGAGGAAACCTACAAAGACACGAGGAGAACATGCAACTCCACTTAGAAAGGCCCTGTTCCGACCCGGATTGGAACCTTTAAAGTCTTTTCTGTGAGCCATAGGAAGCCAGAGAACATCTTTTGAGTAATTCTGGTATTTTTGAAGACATTGTTGGCATTTGTGTGTATGAATATAAAAAACATTTCCCTTCAGTTCTTTACTCGTTTATCCACTTTGTTATTATATTTGATATCTCAGTATCTTTCCACAGTCTTAAAACAATCGTCCTCATGTTTTCCTCTCTGCAGACAGTGCATCCTCCATGTTCCGTGCATCACAGACAGAAACACAGGGAACAAAGGCCTCGAATGTCGCAGAATCTGAGTCGATACAAGTGTAATTTGTCATATTTTAGGGACAATAATTATATTTTCCATCGCTGACGGGTCCAGAGCCCCCAAACAAAGCAGACACTCAGAGGAGCGATGTGTCCCAAGAAGAGTCACTAATCCAATGCTGGCACTCAATTGGCGATAGGAAGGAATGACATGTATTTATATAACACATTTCATACACGTTTAAACATTTTACAGCAACAAGAAAAGAACAGACAATAACAACAACAGTAACGGCACAAAAAAAATCAACAGGAACAATGACAAGATGTATGGAAACCCCACAAAGTAAGTAGACAATAAGAATATTAAGCAACTAAACGAAGTTGCTTAATATTCTACCATTGAGAGTTTACTTGTTGGTTCTGTGTCTGTGTGGTTTGGAAACATCACAGATAAAGAAAAGAGCTTTAAACAAGGTGCTCCGCTCTGCAAAGAGGACCGTGGGCTGTGAGCTTCCTGTTCTGGAGGTTCTTTATAAATCGAGACTTTTAAACAAAGCTCTTAGGATTGTCAATGACTCTTCTGGCCACCCTGGGAAAGCCATGTTCCAGCTTCTTCCCTCTGGCAGAAGATATCGCTCTCTGAGATGCAGGACATCTCGTTACGCTAACAGTTTTTATCCACAAGCTGTTATCAGTCTGAACAGAGCACTTTAATGATTTGCACTTGTTTTGAAACTGTTTTAGTCGATCGATTTCACAGTGACATTTGTTTACTGTTTTATTTTTGTCTTTTAATGTTGTTTTATGTCTGTATTTGTCTGTGCACACTGGAGACTTTTGCTAATGTATTCCAATGTGGTTATTTTTTACTGCAAATGGCAAATAAACTGAATCTGAATCTAAATAAAGTAAAAAAGTAGAAATAAAAACAACAAAAACAAACAGACAAATTTGGTTTAGCCCGATTGCTCCCCCTAGTGACATATCATTTCCTCCATATCGAAGACTTTGTTTCATCTCCCGATCCAAATTGTTCCACAGTTGAGCCCCATTTAAGCCCCATTTACTGCGTGGGGCTATAACTTTTCAGAGTTGAGCTGTGTTTCTGTATCATAAAGTCTCATATGAACAACTAGTTCGCTCTTGAAACCTTTTCTGTATTTGTTTTGGTAAATGTTTATATCTTGCCTGTACAGTCTGGAACTCAACAAAATCATAAAACTTCCAAAATTTTTAATTTATAAATAATGGGTTTGTATGATCTCAAAATCCCACTTTATGAATTATTTTCTAAAGAGTTCATAAAAATGCTTCCTCTGGCTGTAACTGCAGACACAGCAAAACAGCCCAAACGACGCAACAGTGAGGAAGAGAAGAGGGAACTAAAACAAAAAAAATGATCAAAGATAAAATCAAACTGCAAAACCTCGTGGATAACCTGCAAAAGTGCATCACCATCTCAAGATGAAAAGTTATTTCCTCAAAAGCAAGTCTTCATGTCAATGAAACTGTCTGTGTTGTCAAAATAATATGTTCTAACAACATTGAGTATGAACAACAGTCAAATGGTTTAGTCATGTTTTCATTGTGACACTTTACTCTCTCTGTGTTTTTAGTGTAAAAAAGT